GATTAAAGAAACATAAAATCCAGTCTTGTTTTCTTTTTCAATTGAAATGTAAAAACACCACTTTAAATAAATATTTGTCGATCATTTACCTTCTGTATCTTTTTTTCGGTAATGGTGACTTTTCTCGTGAGGGAGGACGAAGAATAGGAGAGGGAGATCTCGATCTCTCGCGAATTCCAGCAAGAACATCATCTTCCCTACGTTTCCGTGCCTGGTTTTTGGCTCGATAGTATTCATACAGGCCTAGTTTTTCCCATCCCTCACTGTCAACAATTCTTCTGGAGACACTGAGACCACTGAATGAAATGAAAATTATACAAATGAAGCAAAGCACACAGTTAATTAGTAGAGCACATAGCACTATAGCAGCCATAGCTTACTTACCTATCCCTTGGACGATCATGCCCTGGAGGTGCATAAAATGCCTCCACTGCTGTCAAAAGTCGTTCACTTGGAGGGGCAGGTGGAGGCAGCCTGATAGCATCCGGATCTAAAGGCTTGTACTCAAAGTCATCAAGCTAAAAGAATGGTTAATAAATAATGATATTGGAATAATTAATGTAACACTAAAAATTGTAGCCAACACTAGTACACTTTTGAAAACAATTTGTACAAAATACTAAACAATGTAAACAATCAAGTATTACCTTTATAAGTGGCACCATAAGCCCAGCTGGCAAGTCAAAGTAAGGTACACTAGGCACTAAATCATCTATGGGCTCAGGTGGTGGTTGTAGTGGTGGTATTGTAGGGGGTGGTAGAGGAAAACCTGGAGGTGGTCGGCTGAAGTCTGGTAGTTCAACACCTGCATAGTGGAAAAAGAAATGTAAGTACATTAAAACTATTAGATTAGATGTAAACTTCTTACAAGCTAGGTAAGATTTCATGGTACCTGGTGGAAAATTTCCTGGGAAGAAACCTGGAGGGGGCTGAGTGAAAGTACTTGGGGGTGGACCCTGTGGTGGCTGGTGAGGTGTAGGAAGCTGGTTTAAAGAAAGGGGAGCTTGTGGATTTGAATATTCTAAGTTACTGAGTAGGGGAGGTGGTTGTGTTACAGCAGTTGATGTAGGTTGGGTTGGCAGAGCTCCTATTAATGGAGGTTGTTGATCCCGTTGCTGATGCATGTCTGGTTGTGATGGTAGAGGCTGGGTTGGTGGCATCACTGCGTTGACAACAGCCAAGGCTTGTTGCTGCTCTAAAGTCTAAAAGTTAAAGGATAAAGAAAAAAAATCATGTTGAAGTACTTTATAAGTTGTGCACATTATATTTGTATCTTACCTGTATTTGCTGCAAGGCATGAGAAACAAAAGCTTGATGTTGAGACTGATAATTATCGTAAGTATTTTTTGTAGCCGAAGTGATTGCTGAAATTATAGAGGAAAACTGTTCAATAAGGCCTGCCTGGTACTCTGCCCAGGATTTGGAAGGATTTTTTAATTTCTCTATTGTGTTTTCATCAAGGTAATTATTTTTAGATTCCCACAGATTTAAAAGCTGTAAGAATATGAAGTATTAGCATATCAATTAATTTTTTTGTTTCCAACTATCAAACACTGTAAATTATAGATTAAAGACTCTGTCAAACCTTATTCAGTTTGGCTTGCTGATCCTCAGGGAGCCCTACAGATGTGCAACAAAACATGGGAACTACGACACTTTCCAGGGCATTCTTCAACATGTCAGCATTTTTCCTTACACTGTAAACAAAAGAACAAGTGAATTCCACACAAATTTTTCTCCCTACTTAAGAATGGAATAGACATTATTTTTCAAAATGAACTTACCAATGGTGTAAAACATCATTTACTAAATAAATTATATGGAGTCTCTGAGAAAATGGACTTGCTGTAGGTTGGGGACCGTTGCTTTCCTTCCCCACATTAATTATCCTGTTAAATAAATTCAGAGTAAGTTCTACAAAATGCAGACATTTAAAGGTCAGACAGAGTTCAGACTTCTTGAACAATAAAATAAATATATATAGATATATATGTATGTTGTTGTTTTTTCACTAAGCTAAAAATGAAATTTGTAACCTACTTGGCTAAGAGAAACTGTGCTAGAGCAGCATTTGCAGCTGGACTTATAGCTTTCTGCAATATCCAGCCCTTCCCTGTTGATATAGAATCTTTGGTACAAGATTGAATTATTGGAGCAAGTATTTGATCAAATTCTGCAAATGGTACACCAGCATCAACACCAAGCTGCTCCAAACGAGCCTTTTGTGCTTTCCTAAGGGCTTCTTCAACATGCTGTTCTTGTTGCTGCATTAAAACCTAAAATAAAAATTTCAATATTTTCACAGTTAAATGTAAAACTTAAGGTTTAAAATATAGGATCAAATTTAGCAGATATAGTAAGTACCGCATGTTGTGCAGCAAGGTTCTGTTCACTTTGTTGAATCTGTTCTTGAAGTACTCTCTTTTGTTGTGCAATTGAATCTAGTGAAGCAGAGGTTGATGATGAAACACTTGGAATAGCAGCAGGTGCAGCAGGCACTGAACTCTGATGCTGCTGTTGCTGTGCAGCCTGTAATAAACATATTTGGGAACTAGATAGATACTGATGGATAACATTACAACAGCTAATTTCAACATGTTTCTCACACTCACCAGCCACTGAGCTGCAGATACTGCAGCCGATAAGTCCATTGATGCAGAGTTAGTGCTTGAAATATTAGAGAGTTGGTGACCAGTCAAATCAGACAGATTGCTGACAGCAGAGAGGTGATGATGCTTACTTTTCTGCTTAAAGACTTAAAAAATATATACACAAAAATTTAGAACTTAGCCCTGAATACAAAATGATGTTTCTTGGAGGCTTTACATCATAATTATTGTAAGTAACCTAAGAACTACATAGAAATACAAAAAGAAAATTGGGTTATAAAACTGTATGATTTTGATGACTTACTAGCTTGTTCTGTTGTAACTTTGTACTGATAATAATTAAAATGCTCTCCTCCAAAGAGAAAGCTAAATTTTGGATTATCCTTTTGTTTATTTTTGGTCATCTGCTCGAATTCCATTCCATTCCTTGCCACAAACTGTGCCAATTTGTCAATGATGTTACGAAGGTCTATGTCTGTAACAAATATTTAAGAGTAAGATTAGAAAAATGAGAAACAAAAAATAATCAGAGCAAGTATTTGGATGTGCATGATCTGTAAGTCATGGAGGACTAGACTACTGAGAAATCATGATGTGGCATTCAAAATAGAACTCAATAAATTAAAATGGAACAATTGACAAAACTAGTGTATAATCGACCGGTATTATAGGACGCAAAGACATAACCTCTAACCCCATTCGGCTGCTATTGATAAGCAGGATATCAGTAAAATCACATTAGCCAACACAAAACACAAACATATTAACACAAAAAATACTTAGATAAAACTACCAACAAACGTAGTTTGCATAATAATAACCATTTACACATTCTATTTACCCTGTGGAGGTTGTGGTAGCTCCATCTTGACGCTCAACTAAAATCCAGTTTTTAGATGTGAGTCTCTAATTATGTGAAGGCTGTTATAAGAGAGATCATTGTCGAGGAAATATTCTCTGCACTCAATAGAAAATTTCTGCAACTCTTTTCCTTCACTAACATTAAAAACACGAAAGAAAACAGCGGTGTTGTGATAAGACAGCTATATCTGCAGTCAGCAGCGGCGGCGGCTGCATCTGCAGGCAGGAAGGAAGAGGCGGGTGTCTATTCACAGGAACTCTCTGCAAATAGTACTAATGGCCGTATCTGCAGATATTCCTGCAAATAAGTTAAAGCATGCTATTTTCAGACTCTTACGTCCTGGTTCCTGCTGCAGGAACCTGCAACATGAGACACCCCTAAACCCACATTTGTCTGGAGGGTGCTTTTCTATTCGTCTCTCTCTTTTGCCATCATAGGACGACCTGAGTGGCACGTGAAGGTGTTACCACAGTGAACGTTTCACGAGGCGACGCCAATGATGGCGCCTGCGACGCGCTGGGTAGGCAAACCCGCCAAGCAGCTGTGTGAAGGCGGCGGCCCGTCCGCGTCCGGAGCGCGTAACTTAAGTGCGAGGGCTTCCGGCAATAGAACGTTTGATCATGGAGTTTGACGCGCAACGTTCCCTCGAGCATGGTCGGGTGGGGGTGGTTCGAGAGTGAGCGAGTTCTGTAGTGACCACGTGAGACTACTAGGTAGGTGTGACTGGTGTAACCACATAGTGGTCACGGCCTCCAGAATGGTCACGTTGCAGCAAGTGACATAACTGCCTGTGAGTCGCCATGACGTATGAGAAAAGAATAATACAGAATTCTTTTTCTTGGGGAAACGGGTGGTGCGAGAAGCGAGTAAAGTTGTTGTAGGCATACAGATATTTATTTTTTTAATTTTATTCAAACCTAAGTAAACATTGATGTTAAAATCTTGCTGAAAAATCGAAACAAAGGAAATGAACCTAATATTCACGCAGCTTACAAATTTATATTCAAATACACAGAATTTGGGGCAGATAGTATCTTACAAATAAGTACAAAATTGGATAAAATTTTAACTGAATTAAGTAATAAAACATTTTGAAGAAAATAGTTTTTTAGTTCATAGTTATTTTATGCCATATTTGAATATTCCAGCATTAAGCAAGCACCTTGGAAAAACAGTTCTGTGAAATTTATCACCTCTTGTGATACTCACACAGCCAAAATTACAAGACTTGATCAACATATACCATAAAAACGTCTTTTGTTATGCCTTACAAAACAAATATACAACAATTTTCAAAAGACTGAAATTTTACTGGTAAGGCATTTTATTCCAAATTATAACACAGCCTCATTTTAAATAGCAAATGTCTACAAATAAAATACATGTTTAGGGTAGCATACGATTACAAAATGCTTTGTCACTCATGAACTAAGGGATATTTTAAAACAATATTGTT